AGGTAACCGCTTGTAGAAGTCAGTTACAAGCACGTAGACTCTAAGGAAGTCCTACTTCGAGACTATATATATATATATATATTATTGCTACTAACCGCGTTCCTGGATTTACTAAGAATATTGCCGATTGTATTATTGTGTAAATACATTTAATTTCTTATCTTTAAGTCCTGCGTTTGTCATTCATTGGAGACCGAATTTCATCTCGGAATCCACAACACATACCATTCTTACTACATCCACCATAATACCTCGGAATCTTCATGAAGTCCAAACTAGTCTCCATATGTACAATTCTTGTATGTGGAGGGAGAGGACTAAAACAGCAATTTAAAAATCTGAATGCCAATAAGTATTTATAATATGAAAATGTATTTATTTAAGGACACATGGCACAGTGGATAAAGGCGTTAGTTAGATCCAGTAACAGGACCCAAATAGTTGTGAGTTCAATACATGGTTAAGGCAGTGGAGAACTTGGAGAGGTGAATTAACAGGCGATATCTGATAACTGACATCCATTAGACAAGGCACGTGGAACTAGAACAGTCTATCCAGTGAGCGAAATAAAGGGTTCAGTTCGACATTCCGACCACCTGAAGAAGGCCGGAGCGTACAACGACCGAAACGTTGTAATAAATATGGCGACAAAGATGAGGACAATAGTCCGAATAATGTAAATAGTATACATAATACCTCATCTCAGAAATATAGACAGATACTGAAAATCTATTTACAGGAAACAAAATAAAATGTTAGTAATAAAAACACACACACACAATCCTTAATTGTGGCAGAAACATCAGTTAAGTGGACGAAATTAATGCGGGATTTTAATTATATAATTCAACCTAAGCACTCATTTAAACACAACCAATACGAAACTCCCACCTAAAAAAGGAAAGTCGTGCCGCATCCACCATAGAACTGATGTCTTTAGGGCAGGAGGGGCAATAAGCATACATCTGCAGCTAATTTAACTTTGAAGGAAGAAACTAAAAAAAAAAAAAAAAAACTAACCTAACTTTCGACTGGGTTGCCAATGTTCAACACAGGTATAACAAAATCTTATTGCCTATCCGGGATCAAAGTATCACTCTAAATCGTGCCCATTTACTCGACACAAATGCGCAAGTTTTAGTCACATTTTGCCAAATTCTGATGGAGGGAGCCGCCACCTTTCCGTCCAGAACTTGACTTTAAACTGATACTTAAACAAGATCAATTTGGAAGAAGTGAACTTCTCGCCCCCATTGAATTCTTTCTGACGTGTCGTCCAAATCACGACTCTCATAAATCCTCGCAGACAAAAGAACACCATGTTCAGCCTTCAACAACAGCGGTACGAAATTGCTACAAACAGAACTGGCTTCGAAGACAGAAAATTTCCTCGCAGCCTGCGAACCATATCTTAAATGAACTTGCCCAACGGGCCTACAACCCTGCAATGAAAAAGATGTGATCTAGGGTCTCCGCCTCCCTATCGCAGCGAACGCATTTCGGAAATTTTTCCAAGTCTTCCGACGAATTCTTTTGCCGAACTAGTCCCGTACGAACCACCAGCCAGGTGAGTGATCCCTAATCATTATTGAAGCATTTCAACCCAGGCGTGCAAGTCCATAGTGAGCGAGCCACTTGATTAGTAAGACCGATCTCATCAATCAGATTATCTTGAGCGGACCTACTAACACTTAATATAATGCCCTACGGGACAACGTCTGGACGTCGGAGAGGCCATCCATCACCCGTAAAGTGTTTCAGGGCAATCCGACAATAGAAGGGGCACTAGCCTTTGTTGAAAATGGGGTCCTTCTCCTCGTACGAGTGCACAATTCTCAGGGATGATAATTTCTTACGGGCGTCTTCCTTCTAGAATTCGCCTTCCTTATCTGATTGTAACAGATCCCCTGAGCTACTCTGGGGGCCTTGCCTCGCCACAAGAAGGAGAACAAGAGCTTTAATAATGATATTAGTGTAGCAGATGGAAGTGGAAGTATGGAGAATCGATAAAGGAGTATCGGGTAGATTTAGTGCGGCAAATAATTTCACCCTCCCCTTTAATGAAAGATTTCTCTGGTACCCCAGACGAACTTTGACCTCAGTCTTCTCCCACACCTCCTAACAGTTTATTTCCATCAAGAGATTGGGGCCGAACCGCACACCGAGTATCATGACCGGCACGTTCGTCCAAAAGACAGGCCCGGGAAGAGAAACTCTCTTCCACGTGCTCAACCGCAAGCCAACCGACTTATCGCGGTTGATCTTGGCCACTGTCACCGTCTCGTACCCTCTGATTTCTTTGCCGACTTCTTCAATCTCAGCTCTGCTTGACACAAGAACCGAGAAGCCATAGGATAGTTTCATGCACAACGCCCCAATTCCCAGGTGCTGAGTTAAGTCATACTTCAACACCCGAAGATTACGTTGTATTACTGGTGATATATATATATATATATATATTATATATATATATATATATATATAATTATTTATTTAAATATAAATAAAATAAATATGTTACAAAATCACTACAAAAATAGCCATTTTGTTTCAACAATTCTGGTGTCTTATCAAGTGATGATGTTGAATGTAGATTGTAGAATAAAGATTTTAAAATGTTCAAATTAATTAACCACCCCTCGTAAGGGGAAACGCTGTCACATGAGCTGAAATGACCAATCAAAATACAAGCATACGAGAATTCAAAAACTTGACAACGAATTAAGGTTATAATAACTATTAAATCCTTTAAAGTTAGGTTTATACTAAAATAACAATAACTAATAAGTATTAAATTGTACCATAAAATTTGAAATTAAAATAAAAAAACTACCCAATTCAAAAATGTAAATTTAATCTATATTAAGTTTAAAATTTTAAAATTATTGGGTAAAAAAGAAAAAAATAGATCTGTTATTTTATTCATTAAGTTTCTATTGAAATTACGTTGGAATAAATGTTAAGATCGACTGCCCTTAACTTAATGAGATACAAGTGTATACATGGGATTATGACATCTTGCGAAAGACAATACAAACACAATCAGACTATAATACATAAGCACGCAGACATATTTAGATATATACACACACCAAAAAGTGACGAGACAGGAAATATTTGCACGACCTTTTACAAAAAAAAATAATAATAATTTAAACCGCACACATACACTATGAAATGTGCATGCAATTTACTATACACAGACACCGAAAAAGGTACGTAGATATACCCACATACATTGACATAGACACTCTGATATAACACTCCAGAAATATTCAAGATTGAAGGTGTTATTAAACTAATTCTAACCACATATTAAAATATAACTTATTCGGGCAAATATACATAGATAAAAATGGTCTAATAGAACAGAGAAACAAACAATGGGTAAAGAAAGGACATTAAAATAGATATATACGTATAAAAATAACACCATCTAATATATAAAAAACGAAAATTCCAAACACACATATACGCCTAATTGTACATTACGTGAAAGAAAATAAGAACTACCTACAAATTTAGGTCTTAGAACTATAGTTACCACTAACGTTAAACAGGTAGATTTCCTGGAAAATGATTCATAGTGTATTTAAAGATTTAGGTCTTACAACTATAATTACCACTAACGTATACTTGTATATATATATATATATATATAGGAAATAGAGTACAATTCCAACGTTCGTAACATTTAATTTAAAAGAGAGCTCAATACAAATAGAGCAATATATTTTATTGTTGATAAGCATATATATATATATATATATATATATATATATATATATATATATACTATTTTCTTCTTTTTTTTCGTAAAAATGGCTTTTAAATTTGTTTTAATCGTTCACTCGCCAGTAATTTACAATCGCCGGATGAAATGCGTTGTATGTTCCTCGAAAAACGACTGCAATTGTGTAACAATTTTAACATGTTTTCGTAAAATATATATATATATATATATATATATATATATATATATATATGTGCGTGTTTCTGGGTCTGATAAAAATAAACTTTTAAGTTATGCTATATTTATAGGTAAGTGTCGTGTCCGAAAATTTCGATGTTTAACATCTGCTCTCATCATCCTTCTATTTGGTCTAAAATACTAATAAGTAATAATTACTAATTATCTGCTATAAATATTCATATACTTATTATGATTATAATAATTATTATTATTTTTTATGTCTCGAATTCTTTCATGGACCAACATTATATGCCTGTGTGTACGGAGGTGGGAAACGAAGATTAAAATTTCAATGACCTCCTTTCAAGCGCATGTGTAATGACATATTCGTAAAAAATACTTTTAGTCCAATGAAATCCTAAAGGACGAAATGCTTCACACGAAAACTTTTCCAGTTTATCATGGATTTTCCTAAGGTACATACATCTTTCTCTCTCTCTCTATATATATATATATATATATATGTGTGTGTGTGTGTGTAAGGTGAAATGAAAATCCCTATTTTACGTATTATGGACTCTCCCGTTTAACTATTATTTTTACAAAACGGGGGAGTTCATTATACATAAAATAGCGAGTTACTTTTCAACCACCCTGTATATATATATATATATATATTAATGAAAACAAATTTGTTTATCTTAGATGATGCGCTTCGTCGTTTAAGTGACATTTGTTTTGATAAATTTACCTAGATGACGAAACTATTCGTTAAGATACGTTTCCTTTTGTTTTCATTCATATATATATATATATATATATATATATATATATATTATAGTGACGAATGCAGATAGCCCATATACGCATATATTAAGGTTATCTCCGTCTGACAACATAAGAGGTCACGTGGGAGTCTCGAGACATTTTGGGAAAGCAAGTCAGGAGGTTGACTGACCCCATTACCCGTAGCAACAGATGTCTAGACAGAATCTAGACAGGGGACTGACGTAAGGTCATGAAGCAGCAGGAACTGGAATTCGCACCAAAACGCAGGACACGTGGGAATTAGAAAATTACTTGGAAGTCAGTTGCTGTCTTGTCTTTGAAGGAGCAAGATTCGAAATCGAAGCGCTGATAACTTATGAACGGAAAGATGAGACTCATTTAGGTAATGATGGAACTTGTCCGATTCATCCCAAGCAACTCCGGATAAGAAATATAAGAATATGTATTTCTGTTCGTTAACTCCAAATTGAAGAAGATAAATCGAGTTATTTATCTCAGAAGACGCAAGGAAATTTGTACGCTGAGAATACAGCCTGCGTTTGAAGAAAGAAAAGAGAAAACCAGAGAGAAGAAAGTATATATGTATCTGTTGCAGCCGAACCGTGTTTGAAGCTGAACTGTGTAAAGAAGAAGAAAGAAAGAAAAGAGAAAATAAGAGAGAAGAAGAAAGTATATATCTCTGTTGCAAGCTGAATTGTGTAAAGAAGAAGAAAGAGAGAAATGAGAAAACCAGAGAGAGGAAGAAAGTGTACATCTCTGTTACAGCCGGACCGTGTGTGAAATTGGACTTGTGTAAAGAAAAAGAAAGAAAAGAGGAAACGTGAGAGAGAAAAGAAAGAACAATGAGTAAAAGAGATAACTGAATATAAAGATAAGTAACTATATGTTTTAGACCCGTGTTAGAAAGATACACATGCATCCATAAACTTTATGTTCTCACATACACCTTTCCACATGTCAAAATAGAAATATGTAAATCCTATCCCATCTTTTTTTTTTTTTTTTTTTTGGTTATGCGTTGATTTCTGCATTCGTAGTTATTCATACTTATTTTTTTTTTATCCGTTCGGGTTCAGCCGAATTCACTTGGATTTGGGCATATTTTGATATCATAAGTCTTGAGGTTCTGGTCGTCGGATGCTTTACTCATGCTTATATTTTTCTTTTATTTTAATATCCGTGTATATGTACATATTAAAATTCTTATACCAAAATTTATTACGCCTTATAGTTCATCCTTAAATTGTGGATCGGTATTTGTGTTGAAACCGAAGCGAACCTGGGAAAAGATTACTGTTTGAGTATGCCAATCGAACGTATGATCGCATTATAAATTATTCGTCGACTAGGGCATATGACAATATATATATATATATATATATATATATATATATATATATATATATATATATTCCTGCTGTTCTTCGTCCGACGATTGTTTCGATCTTTCGGAAAATACCCAGAAGGGAATTATCCACCATCGCCGAAAAATGAGAAATCATATATTAAATCTAACCGAAAAGCCTATTCATATCCCTACGTGCACTAAATCCCCTTGCTAAACTTAATCTATCCCCACCCTCAATCATTTTGTTGACGTACAAGGGTTCGTCTGCATTCACCGCGTTTTTTTTTGTTTTTGTTTTTTAAATAATACTCCTCTACCCACACCTCATCATTATTCCTTTTATTAACTTTCATCCCATTTGGCGTCTAAGGATAAAACCAATAATAATGCAATAAAAACCTTTAACAAAATTCATTTGCCTGCGAATGAAGGGATTGTTTAGGATTTTTTAATTTCATCATTTCTATTAAATTAAAAACAGCAAAAACTCGTCGATTTTAAATGTTCAGCTATTAAATGAAAAGTCATTCAAAGCCTCACGTTAAAAACTGCATTTATTTTACACAACAAATATTTATCTTATTTTTCCCTAATCTCCTTCCATGTCAATGCACTTAATTAAGTGCTGAATATCAGCCACCACTTAATCAATATAACACTATACAGTGGTAATTTCAGATTAATTTTCAGCTCATACGTGTTAAGCTACTTCTGGATATGCCAGGCATATATATAGAAATAATTAAACGCAGATGTATTTTATTCGGGCTCAATAAACACAAACGAAGAAAACTTAGAACATCTTAAATCTTTTTAATATCGTGACAATTTGGTACTTAAGAGAAAATGGACGATAATTCTAAAAATTATAATCTTTAGAATTATCGAGAGTTTCTTTTTTCTGAAATGATCCAATTTGCCTAAAGTCTAAAAGATTTATTTTCTTGAATCCGTTCACATAATTCTTGATCCGTTCAAGATTATCGAAATTTTAGCAACTTTTTTCCCGACTAATTTGTGTAGCTTGTTTACATCGATTATTAGGTATAATAGTCTTAAGATATCCGAATTTCTTTAAAAGAACATTGGGATTAATATTGATTCTTAACTCGCTTTTGTTTTTCTTGTTTTTTCTTTCTTATTTTTGCAGCTTGTTTGCACCTATTCAGATAGGCGTAATAGTTTTGAGATGTTCGACGTTTTGGGATTGATATTAATTTTTGATTCGTTTTTAATTCCATTGCTTTTTTATGCAATGTTCTGATTACTTTTACATTCTCCAATGTAAACATCATCGATTGGAGATAAATCAATAAGCTTTTAATGAAATTTGAACTCGCATCCAGTACCTTTAAGAGCCTGACTTGAACAATGATTTAGCAGTTAAACTAAGAAAGTTCAAATCATCGCTCTTCTTGCATGAACCATTGTCTTTATTATTTTTATATTTCTAATTATTATTATTATTATTTAGTAGTAGTAGTATGCCTAATGATCTTAAGTTAACTGAATCTCTTAGAAGAGGGTTTACGGCGATATCACTTTGAAACACCGGGCCCGTACGATAATCGAAGTTAAGCAATGTCGAGCCTGGTCAGTATCTGGAAAGGCGACCGTACGGGAATACCAGGTGGTGTATGTTTGGGTGTGCGGGTGGGGTAATGGGTAATGGCTTGGAACTTTTAATCGAAGAAACCGAGTTCCAATTCCACTTGGGTTCGCTATATTCTAGCCTTGGGAAAGGTATGAATCCGTCTTTTGTCCCCTCCAGTTATGGGTTAATTAGTAAGACATGTCTCACTAAATCATTTTTATCTCAAAAAACAAAATCTTACAATCTAAAACTATTATCTGGCTTTAAATAACTAGCAAAGGGTTGATAAACCGTAGAAAACGATTCAATCAATCATTGTTTTTACGATATGTGTTTAAAATTTTTCGACATGTCACTTCTTCTCAGAATCAATGTTTCATTGGTACAATATCAGAATACAAATTTGGTAAAGTGTAACAAATCAAGACTTTTTTTAGCACCCCTCGTATTATTAATTGTTTTTCATTATGTAGAATATATATTTCTTTCATGATATATTTTTTTATATAGCAAAGCTGAGGTCGTTCATATATTTTACAACCGGCGGAAAGAATACGAAGCAAGAACTTGTAAGATTTTGGGAAATAAGTAGAACTAATCAGGGGAGCCCGGAATTTGTGCATTTGCTGATATCAGGGTCCACACTTCATATATGGAGGACAGTGTGCATAACTTTCAACTATATTTTGTTCTAGTTCCACAGGCCATGCCACTTCCGGAGGTCTTAGTCATTTACCCTTAGCTCAAATCTCCAAGATTTTTTTTTCTATCAAGGAAATTGAGCATAACTTTAAACTATATTTTATGATATACATTATTATTTACATTATTCGGAATCTCATCCTCATCTTCACTGCCATATTCATAACGTTTCGGTCTGTATATATTTGAGATGAGGTATTATGATTATTTGCATTATTTACGTTATTCGGACTGTTATCCTCATTCCTTTGCTATATTCACAACGCATCGGCCGTTGTACGCTCCGACCTTCTTCAGGTGATTGAATCTCTGAGATGAGGTATTATGATTACTTGCATTATTTACATTATTCGGACTGTTATCCTCATCTTCATTGCCATATTCACAACGTTTCGGCCGTCGTACGCTTCGGCCTTCTTCAGGCGGTTGAATCTCTGAGATGAGGTATTATGATTACTTTCATTGTTCATATTATTCGGACTGTTATCCTCATTTCATTGTTATATTCACAACGTTTCTACCGTTGTACGCTCCGGTATTTTTTCAGGTGATTGAACAGTTGAATTAAAGAGAAATAACTGAGACATCCGGAAGAGGCATAGCACGTGGAACTGGAACAATCCCCCCCCCGGTGAACGAAATAAAGGGTTCGTTCCGAAATTCCAGTCATTTTTATATGGTTATTTTACATTTTAGAAAGGGCTCAAAGAAATACGAGAAAAAAACCAGTCAGCAAGAGAACTTCTAGCCATCTAGATTTTTTTCTCCAATATTCGAGGAATTCCTGCCAATTTCTGTAGTGTAGAATCTTTTCTCTTGAAACGCTTTCCAGGTATTTTGGCGCTTTGTAAAACTGATTTCAACCAATTCATTCTTCCACTATGTCAAAAACATTCTAGGGTACATACGCATCTTAAAGAGAATTTGCATACGGAAAAAAATCAGCTTCTGCTGAAAAGGTATTTTATCTTGAGTAACCGGATGATTCCAACCACCTGAAGAAGGCCGGAGCGTACAACGAGTGAAACGTTGGGAATATGGCAATGAAGATAAAGATAACAGTCCGAGTAATGTATATAATGTAAGTAATCATAATACCACTTCTTAGAGATCTAATCACCTGAAGAAGTGTACAACGGCGAAACATTGTGAATATGGCAATGAAGATGAGGATAACAGTCTGAATAATGTAAATAATGAAAGTAATCGTAATACCTCATCTCAGAGATTCAATCACCTGAAGATGCTGGTGCGTGCAAAGCCTGAAACGATGTGAATATGGCAATGAAGATGAGGATAACGTCCCGAATAATATAAATAATGCAAGAAATCATATTACCTCATGTCAGAGACCCTACTCAAATTTTGAATTCAAAATTTTCCCTCTCCTAGATTGGTTGACAACAAATAGCTAAAGAGATAAACCATAGTTAGAGAGAGGAATTCATATATTTTCCCTAGGGTATTTGGACATTACTAAATGTAGCAGGCAATATATATATATATATATATATATATATATATATATATATGTGTGTGTGTGTGTGTGTCTGTGTGTGTGTGTGTGTGTGTGTGTGCGTGTAAAAATATATAGAAAAAAGGAAAGAACTTGTTAGGTAAATAATCCAAATTTCTTTAGTATTTTTGTTATTATTTAAAAAAAAAAATAGTGCTCGATACAAAAGCAGAGCATAAAACGCGTAAATTTCAGGAATTAGTTATTCCCCAAAAAAATTAGTTATTCAGGAATTAGTTATTCCCCCAAAAAATTAGTTATTCAGGAATTAGTTATTCCAAAAAAAAATTAGTTATTCAGGAATTAGTTATTCCCAAAAAAAATTCACTTGAAGATGGAACAGAGCTTGGCACTTTAAGTCAATTTAATTCAAATAATTATATTGAAGTTTTCGGCTCTTGTTTTGAAATATGAGAACTCTTATGTAGCGTTGGAATCATATTTTTAAATAAATAATAAAAATATATATATATATATATATTCTACAGAACGCATAACCCCATCAGACATCCCAGACCACCCAGATTAGTAGACAATCAATAGCAAACGCACTCAACCTTCTAGAAAAAAAAAACGAGATAAGCCCCCAACCAGGACACTTTGATGGGCGTATAGTATCCCTAATAGGAGACATGATGCAAGCTTTTACGAAAGAACTTTGCCATGCTTGCAAATACAAACTTGACCCATATGGACGAGTTATAAATTTAAGTAACAATACATTTTCACTGAACACATTCAGGTTATTAAACAAAAGGACTAAGCTTTTGCCCTAATCCCCCAAGTTTTGATAAAGACACTTTAGCAAAGGACCTGAAATCCTTCAGAAGAAGAATACAGCTAAAAGCCCACTACAGGGAAAATGATCACACACCTTCCATACTTGATACATTAAAAAAGAAGGACTCTACATTCACCCCACAAAACACAGACATTACTATACAGACATTTGAACTAGCCGTAGCAAATGACATAAAGAAAACAATAGCACGTAAGCTGCCACGTGACAATATTACTGAAGGGGAACGTATAGCCCTCGATACATAGAGATGACCTAATCATAACACAGGCTGACAAACGGGATTCCACAGTGATCTGGTGAATTAAAGAATACTTTAACAATCAGCTAGACGACAAAGAAACCTATAAAAGCTTACCTACAGACCCTCTTCCCGAATACCAAAAAGAATTAACTAGCTCACTAAACATGATGCTTCGCAACAATCTAACCGACAAGGAAACATGCAAAACACTTACACCCACAAAAATTACACCTGCCAGCTTCTCTCTCCTTCCAAAAATACACAAAAGCAACAACCCAGGAAGGCCGGTCATTTCCTCATTCAACTGCCACACAACCAAAATTTCCAATACGTAGATCATTGCATACAACCGCTAGCTAAGGATGTAAAATCCTACATCAGAGGCACAACAGATCTACTAAACAAAATTAGTAACATCCAAGCAGAGAATGCTATTCTAGTGACTATAAACGTAAGATCACTCTATTCAAACATTAAACACATCGAAGGGCTAACTGCCCTTCAGGAAGCAGTTACTAAAAGAAGAAAACAAGACCTCCCACACACACAGAAGTTATAATAAAACTCATGGAGCATATTCTTACATTGAATAATTTTAACTTCAATGGAGCACACTACCTGCAAGCAAGAGGCTGTATCATGGGTACCATTGCAGCTCCATCATATGCTACAATATTCATGGGAAAGTTTGAGGAGACCCATATCTATCCCATCATTGGTAGCGACTGCGTATTCTATGCAAGATATATCGATGATATATCCTTTGTATACACGGGCAGTGACGACAAATTTATCCAATTCCTCATGACCTAAACACAGTGCACGACTCAATTAAGTTTGACTATGAAAAATCCACAAGATTGGTAATATTTTTAGACCCCCGCATTTACATAGATGAAAACAGGAGACTACAAACGACACTACACACTAAAATCACCGACACCCACAACTATCTGTACTTTAAGTCTTCTCACCCTAAACACCTCAAAGAGAACCTTCCCTATTCATAAGCACTTAGACTCAGAGGGATAAACACATTCAAAATCTGGAGCATCAATTCACGTGGCTTCAAAACACTAATGGAACAAATAAATAAACAAACACCTAAGAAGGGAACAAATACAAGATTAAAAATAAATCTAGCCGCATATCTAGTAACCACTTTCAATCCCACTCTGCCTCCACTATCCCAAATAATCAAAAGTCGCTGGGAAATACTACATCTTAAACCAGACCTAAAAAAAAATGTTTGAGGAACCCGGCCTTCTTGCATATCGTAGACCTCAGAACCTAAAGGAAATTATAGGTAGTAACCACATTTCAGGGGACAAGGTAATCCGTAATAAACCAAAATAAAAAAAACAACAGGATTTTCATAACCATGTAACAACAAATGCTGCAATCACATTAGACACACGAATTAATTCACTCGCTCAGTCACTAAATCTACTTTCAAAATCTACCACGACTCTAACTGTAGAATTAATAACATAATTTACCTCCTAGAATGCACACTATGCCAGAAACAATGTGTAGGAAAATCTGAATGGCCCTTTCACTACAGAATGAATAATTATTGCAATCGAATTAAGTCGATTCCTCATGAAAGATTATTACCTGTAGAACAACATTTCCGCCTACAAAAACACGATTTTAAAACCCATGCCAAATTCACTATAATTGAGAGAATAGAAAATTTCAGAGCAGATACCATTAGAAAGATTTTAAAAGGACATGAACATAAGTGGATACAACGTTTAAAAAAAAAATATCCTATCCATCAT